GTAATATTAAGAAGAATATTCATTATAATAATAATAGCCATCCTAATAGTAATAATAATAGCGATTCGCTGTTTGCCATTCACGAATCTATAGCCCATTGCCCAAATGCGGCCAAGTGACGCGCGAATGGAGCTGCGAATTCGAATGCGAATTCGAATACGAATGCGAGTACGAATGCGAATGCGAATGCGAATCTGAATCTCAATGCGAGCGGGCGGAGTATCTTATGGATATGTCCGCTGCCTGATGATCGTTGGCATGCGCGACTGCATGAGCTGTCGCTTGGTTATTTAAGCGCTCGACGCACATGCGCAGTTTATCAATGCCCGAGCTTAGGCCAGATGTAGCCACACACACAAAGAAAAAAAAAAAACAGAGCCCAACTCCAAGACAAAATCAAAAACAAAAAAATCATACAAATACACAAAAAAAAAAAAAAATAAATAAATAAACACAAAAAATCAGCATAGAAAACTTTCACTGCTTACGACGTTCCAGTTTTAATTTCAGTTTCAGTTTTAGTTTTTTTTTCAGTTTCCGCTTGAATTTGAGTTTCAGTTTTCGATTAGTCCAAAGATGCGCTTCATGCTACCCAAAAGTCAAGAGTCGAATGGGCAACGATATACCCTATACAGTAGGATTTAAATACAAGAGTTACATATTGAGTTACAAGAGATCTAAAAATATAACATATTTGATATAGCCTCTATTTTATCATGTAAAAAGAACCATTTAATCAAATCCCATATCCAAGGAACTTATTTGTATATCCTGAACTCTTTGAAATTAAGTATTAGTTAAATTAGTTAAATCTGAAGAGACTCCACTAAGTACATATATAGATCAACAGACAAACTTGCTCTGTCCAATCTTTTAATCCCTCTATAGAACCTGTATAATTTGTAAAACCTTAAGATCTATATATTTCATGTGGAATCTTCTAAAATGTCTTTCACATAATCGATTTTTCCACTTCTTGATCGAAATTGACTTAGAAAATTATCGAACTAGAGTTATTTGATTAAATTTCTTAGAAATTTCGGGCTAGATTATAAAATGTTTCTCATATTTCATACAGATTTTCTGCAATTTTTCATTTTCGGTCGAGTTATCTTCGAGTTAAGCATAGCCGACACTAGAATTTTCCAACAATGTGATTGATATTGAATGCATATCCTGCTACACTCAATCATCTCGCCAAGTCCCATCTAAGCCCCCCTGAAGCTTCGGCTAAGCATTTAATCTTTGTGCGTTTTAAGTTTGTGAGGTTTCGAGCGGATTTCCGCCGATGTAAATTGTTCACTTCCAAGACAATTTACATAAATACTCTGACGATAACAAATCACCTAAACAAAAAGCAAAAAAAAAAAAAAAAAAAAAAAAAGTACAAAGTTCTAATTAAATGTTAGTTACAACTGAAGCAACAAAAAAAACTAATTTGCATTTTTTGGAGAGCGTCTAAAAGGTGAGAAAATTATTGCTACGTCGATTGCGATTGCAAATGCCGACTGTTCGAGACAAGTGCCTACTTGAGTGGAAAATCAATGCACTTCCGCAAAATGGTCAAACACACGCACACACACACACACACACACACACACAGAGATACACATACGCAGATACTTGCTGACAGTTTGAGATACTCACACGAAGATACAAACAGCGGCGGGGCAAACAAAACTATTTGACGAGCGCGCAAACTTTTTAATTATTTATAGCAGCTGCGACGCGAACGGCGACGCAGGCAGCGATGCGACGCAACGCGTCGAGAATAACATTCGCAGTGCGCACTGCATTAAATAAGTTAATAATTTGCCAACTGTAAACAGTTATGCAACGATAGATAGGGAAACATATGGATCTATATATCCTATCTAAAAAAAATAT